ACGTCAAGGTCGTGAAAGCAGTAGTACGGTGCGCCGACCTTTTCGCAAAACTCCGCGTTGACGTCCACCCGCCGCAGCGCCATGTCCATCTCGCTGCGCAGTGGAGGCGGGAGGCGAGAGCTGAGCGAGAGCTGACGAGGAGAGGCGAGGAGGCGAGGAGGCGAGAGGTGAGGACGCACCTGAGCGCTCTGTCCTCCCACGGTCGGTTGATGGTGCCGTCGAGTCCGAAAATGTCGCCGCCGTTCCCGCGCCATGTGTGCCAGTACGCAATACTGAATCTTAGCCACTCCTTCATCGTTCTCCCGGCCACAACCTCGTCCTCGGCATACTGCTTGAAGGCGAGCGGGTTGCGGGACGACGGCCCTTCGTAGCGAACCTTGTCTATGTCAGGGAAGAATGCGGAGGCCGTGGCGAACGCCCGTGCTGTGGATGCCGGAATCAGGAGCCGAGGCGCGGCGAACGAGAGCGAAATGCGGCACCCAGTCGCAGCCACCATGAGGGTGGATGATTACTTCGGGCCTGCCAAGGTTCCGGCTCCAGCCGAGCAAGCGAAATAACGCACGGGCCCTCAGCGGAGCTGGGAAGAGGACCGCCGCAAGCGGCGTGGCGTGGAGCGGTTGTGCATCCCTCCGGGGGCCCCTCTGCGCCGGGGAGGCGTTGTTGGAGGCTAGGACGCAAGCGTCCGTCGCCCTTTTCAAACTCGGGGCCCACTCCGCTACGCTCCGACCCGAATTTGGAGGGCCTAAAAGTTTAAGGTGTTGCTGCGCAAAAGGGGTCGGACACCGGGCGCAGCTCATGCTAAGAGCTAGAAGAGGAGATAGAGAGAACAACCACCCTGTCCCGTTATTGCGTACACCAACAAACACCACAAAATCTCTCCTGTCCTCACTCAGGGGGGTCACAACTACCAAGTCCCTCGACTATGCCACAGGGCGCAGCTGCCACAGGGCGCAGCTGGAGACGCTCCCCCTCAATCGGCATCCACCCCCACCCGCTCCAGCCCCACTTCTGCTGCCGAGAGAGCTGAATCGAAGCAAGCGAGCCATTGCATCTTGGCGTGCTCCTGGAGCGCGGCTTTCTGCGGCCACGAGCACGGCGGAGTCGGCGCCGTAGCGCGC